TTGGCTTACTGTCAAAGGTTTCGAAATAACCAACAATTCTAAGGCATAAAATTGCGTATGTTAAAACTTACGAAATACGATTAAAACGATTTTTATGACGCCGAAAATAAATATTCGTAAAAAATGTCGAAGTTAGATAACGTCTAAACTTTTAAAGTAAAAAGGTTCATTTAGCAGAAATAATATAATCCCGAAAAAAGAGTTACATATATTCATGTAATCACCTGTCACTCCTATAAAGGGAGATGAGTTGCAGATGTGAGATGACATGAAAGGGTTGCCATCCGGGCTTCTTAGCCAAGCTAAGATCTATTTGCCTATCGTGGCAACTTCTGTATCCCGTGAGCGCTTACTATACGCCAGGTTGTCAAAATCGTTATTTTAATATTCAACTCTAAAGAAATAAACGTAAAAGTAAAAAAAAAAATAATTAATTCTTGTGTTCTGTTAAAAATAATTATTATTCTATAAAATTAAATGTGTTAAAGTAAATAGTGTAAAACTTATAACATAACTATAATGTTTGATTATTATACTTATTTGTTTTATTTGTGTTGAAATGATTATATATATATATATATATATATATATATATATATATATATATATATATATATATATATATTATTTCAGCAGGGATGGGAGATATGATAAGGATATTGAACGACGAGTGAATGCAGGAAATAAAGTAAATGGGGCTCTACACTCTATTGTGAAAAGTCAGAATGTGTCAAAAAAGGCACATATGGCAATTCACAGTGCTGTATTAGTCCCTACTTTAACGTATGGTAGTGAAAGTTGGGTGTGGCAGAAGAAGCACGAGAGTAGAATAAATGCAGTAGAAATGCGGTCGCTAAGGAGTATGTTAGGGCTGAATCTGAGTGACAGGGTGAGAAACTGTGTAATAAAAGAAGAGTGTAGTTTGCAAAATGATGCGGTGACCAGGATTAAGAAAGGAATGCTTCGGTGGTTTGGTCATGTAGAAAGAATGAATGCGGAAAGACTGACAAAGCAAATATATGTTGCAGAAGTGAATGGAAGAGTCGGAAAGGGACGTCCTAGGCGGAAGTTTGTCGACCAAATTGGCGATATACTAAAAATGGGCCTAATTAAGAGTATTCTTAACCGACGAGCATGTATGCGTAGGTATATGGATGTGGAAGAGGCGAGAGAGGTATGTCAGGATCGTGCTAAATGGAAGTCTGTAGTCTCTGCCTACCCCTCTGGGTGACAGGCGTGAGTGTTTATGTTTTTATGTATATATATATATATATATATATATATATATATTTAAAAACAAATTCAAATTCTATCTCCTCTAATATAATATTATCACCTATATTGTCTATAACAGCAAAAACCGTTCCAATGCTATCCAAAGTTTTTATTTTTTATCCATAATAACCTCAAAGTAGTGCATAAGTAAAGGAAATGGTGACTATTACTTGGTTGAGTATTCTAACTTTTGACAGTTCCAACTTGCAGCCATTACTTAACTATCGAATACAAATCGTTACTTAAGTAACTACTTTTACTCAAGTAATTACTTTTACTTGTTTATAAATACGGGTGTTACAATGACCTTTATGATTATATAGAATACTAGCTTTGCCCGCAACGCATAGAATTAATCTTTTATCTATTTATTCTTTTTTGTGCTTTCAAGTCACTTTTTATATTGAAACATTAGTTTTGACTCATTTAAATAGACTAAACCATATCACAATCTTAAAGTAACAACATTGGCCATGCAGTGGAGTTTATAAATATCCACTACCCTATATCGTCTCGAAAGTCTTCTGACAGCAACTTCTTTCTAATAACAACTAAAAAGTAAAAAACATTTGGATGCCAACTCGCCTGTCAAGTGTGGCAAAAATGGTAAATATCGCGTTTATGAGGCATTCTATGCGGAAAGCTAACAAAAATGTTGTATATATAGTTACATTAATGATTTCATCCAATATTTTTCGGCTTTAGGGTTATTTCTCCAAACTTATATGGGACAACCCCTGAAATATAACCTATTTAAGAAACGTGATGGCTCAGGGGCTGAGCGCTCCCTGTAAATTTCACAGTACGCAGCAACCCGGGTTCGATCCCCGCCGGCACCTACGAAATTGTTAATTGCAATTTTAAGTGCTGCTATACCACGTGCTCGGCGGTGAAGGAAAACATCGTGAGGAAAACCAGCATGTTTCAAAAATTAAAAAAAATATTTCGATGACATGTGAAGTCCGCCAACACGCATTGAGGCCACATTACGGACACTCCTTTGCCCTTAAACCCTCTCAGAAGTGAGGAGGACTGTGCCCAGTAGTGGGACATATATAGGCTGTAACTTATAATAATAAAAAACAATAAAATGAAAAACCTTTTTTTTTAATTCGGTCGGTCGGAGTAACACTAACCAGCTCACCATACGAGCACTGAAGAATTATAATACTATTTATACGTGGTAGAGTCATGCTGCCGCTATATTATAGTTGTAACACGAATAGGTCGGCTCGACCGGGGAAGAACCACGTTCTCACAGATTACCACAGGGCAAAATAACAACGCTGCTGAGTTTCTTAGTCTGAGTGTTGAGAACCAGAGACCCTTTTCACTGGATACGAGGCACTCCATCCTAGTCCTCACGAGTGACAACGCATCTGTATATCGATTCGTAATCAAGGATAGATGTAGATTCTTATGGGTCATAGTACACACTTACCATCAGGTGGACTGTGTGCTCGCTCGTCTTTCTTATTCTATAAAAAAAACTATTTCATGTTGGTATGGTATGCGCGCGACTCACCGCGGTCGAGCCGATCCATCCGCGCTGAAACCATTAGCTAGCACGCGGGTGGCAGCATCCACTTACCACCAGATGGAATGTGTGCTTGCTTGTCATCCTTACTCATATAAAGAAATATATAATAACACGGATAATAACGAAAACTGAAGCGCGTATCGTTCGCGACACTTAAACATATCGTGAACAATTTTGTTAACTAATAATTTTCAACACTCGACACTAGCAAAATTGCTCATCGCCCGAACCATAGCTAAAAAAAGAGGAATCTTTATTGTAATGACGTAATTGTTGGTTTTATTGTAGACTGTAGTCAAATAAACACCGATTAATGTTTTTTATTTTTAAATAATAAAAATTTAATTTAATTTGAAATATAAAACCAACCAAGTTTTGAGATTGCAGAAAGTAACAAAATAAGATTATAGATATCATAATAATTTATTAATAACGGGTGCTATAGAGTTTTTTTATTCTTATTCTGGGCGGCGGTAAGGTTATCACATTATGTAGCACAGCTGTAAATACATGTTGATATATATCTGGTTAAATCATAAAATAAACTATTATAAAAAATGCGTCTTCCAAACAAAGTTATGTCTGTCTTCCAAACAAAGTGATCTTTCATTTAATGTGATAACACCTAATTATACTTAATTTCTCTAAAGGTTGTATAAAGTTACAAAATATTTGCATTATTTTTTAAGTCTTTATTGTTAAATACAAACATAAATTTAGTTCAAATCGTTAAAAACAACATCGACGATAAAACCCAGAGGAACTCTAAGAGGAATTCCCAGAGGTCAGAGTTCCCGCCACGCGACGCATTGTACGTAAATTTATTACCCTTGGAACAGAATTATTTTTATACAATATAGATTAGAACAATACTTATAGAAAGTGGTTTTAACTTTTGCCTCTGGTTCAGAAAACATTTCCATCCAGGAGAGGTGCAGCAGGATACCCAGCAGTCCTTTTTCAAATAAAATTTATTAACAATATTTACAATTAGCAAACAGCGTGGTAGCGATCACCTCATTCTCAGGAGTCATCAGTCATGTATCAGGCAGACTTTGGTATGGTGATCGTAAATGCGATGGTAGCAATATAGTATATTCTATGCTTGGCAGCGAAGATCATGACATTTCTCATCACTTATTTCCCAAAACATGAAAACAAGAGTGGAGTGAGACGTGGTCCTTCATTCATGGTTATATAATTAGGCTCAAGGTCACTAAGCGAGCTATGGAGAGTGGCAATGGGCCGGCCGTACAGCTCGGAGATCCAACATTTTTTCATTTAGTACAGCCCATTGAAATTACACACCAATAGGCCTCCCCCATTGATTACCACTTAAGAGGATATTTGCCATAGTTGGAACGCTTGGCAGCCAGGTTGGCAACCGCAGTGTTTTAATATTTTGAGTTGTTATCGGAAGGATGCTGTTACCCATTTCTTCTCCTCTCCTTACGACACCCACAGGATGATATAGGGAGTGGATTCTCCTACGCCGCCACTACGCAGTAAAAAATAACATTACGCATGGGTTTTCACATATTACCCTTATATAGCTGTACCTAATAGCTTTACTAATATATTATACATTTTTCAATGAAGGCATCCATAACATTTTTACCACCAGGGCGGCGCCACCTAGCTTTGAAGTGACATATTTGACAGATTTCATGGAGGGGAAGATTAAAGGTTAATGTTTATTTCTAAAATATTAGTTACATCTTAATAGTAAATACATTAAAAATGGATTTAAAACCTACACATATTGCTAAAAGTAAAGAAATTAAAAATAGAGTTAAAATTGTGAAAAAAAATTAAACAAATACTGAAGCATATTTTGTGTACATAGATACGCTAAAACTGAAAATCTTTTATTTTTGGATTTTTAATTTTTTCCATGACGACACCCACGGCATGAGATACTCTGATGGCTTATCTTGCTATCACACACTGGTGTCACGACGTAAAGCATTATGTCTTCCAAAAAAAAACTTCTTAAAATAATTAATGTACACTCTGTTTGTTATGTAGTCTGTGATCTCTGTGACATTTAAAACTTGATTCGCGTCCATCCACATCATGTTATATAAATAATTAATAGTGACTCCGAGCTTACGACGAGAAGCGCGCGCGTTTGTTTTTTTTTTTTTAAATTATTGTTATTGTTTAAGGACAAACAATTTTAACGATGAGGTGAGAATCCACAAACGAATCTAAGTATTTTTAAGTGTTTTAGTTTTTTGTATTTTAGTTTGTTTGGTGGTATGAAAGAATAAAAACGGGGAATAAATGATTTTTTTCCTGTTATTGATACATCCGATTGGCAACGAGTGTGTTCGTAACTTTGTGTATGAATTCAATATATTATTAAATTGTGTGATAATAAAAAAAAATAATATTTTTTGTAATAAGAATTTTAAAGAAATTTTAAGAAGGCGCGAATGGGTCGGCTCGACCAGGGAAGGACCACGCTCTCACAGAACACCTGCGAAAAATAGCATTTGATACTGATGTGTTTCGTATGGTGAGTTTAGAGATCCGGTGACCCTTTTATTACTGGAAACAAGGCATTCCATCTTAATCCTCAGGGTTGACAACGCATCTGAGTTTTGATTTTTAATCGAGGATAAATGTAGATGTCTATGGGGCACAGCATTCACTTACAATCAAGTGGACTGTGTGCTAGTTTGTCACCCTTATTCTATAAAAATATCAGTTATTAGGTTTTTTCGGTCAATAAATTCTCAGTAACAGCCCGGAGTCAGGAAGTTGGCGGCGTTTCACTCCGTGCCTCTGAGAGTACGTGAAGCCGTTGGTCCTGCGCCTGATCTCTCTCCGGTCGTGTCGGTTTACTGTCCCATCGGACTATGAGAGTGAGGGAATAGAGAGTAAGTACATCTATGCTTGTGCCTACACTTTGGCAATTTAATCCTGTCCTGCGCCGATGGCTAGTCTCCGTTGAGGCTGGACGCCGTGGCCGAAACTCGGTCTGGAGGACGTTATTATTATTAAATAAATAAATTTCCCATAGCCATTGTGTAAGGGGCGAGAGTGTTATTTGATAATCCATTAAACATCTTACGCTTCCATTACTCACAAAAATCTAATTCAATCTGTAATTGCTTTTAGAATCCTGATATTCCTGTTGGGAACAGTGCTGCTTCCCAGTTTTGTTTCGCTTCAAGCGCCGCAAGAGCTGGACGCCGATACCAGAAAATACTTGGATTATATCGTCAAAAAAGCCACTGGTAACTGTTAGGACTTTAATTAAACTTGAACTCAATACGATGGTGGATGGTAAATTAATAAATACAGCGCTGTTTTTACAAAATTTTAGGTTTTAGTATTAATTTAATTTTATTTAAAAACCATATTATTAAAAATATTATGTGAGTGTGTAAGCAACCGATAGCAATAGTCGTTCCTTTTGCGTTTTTTTTTTCTTTTCTTTTTGCGATCTTTAGCGCGCAGTTTCTATTCGGCCGGTATGTTTATACAGAAAAATACAAAGTACAATAAATTAATTTGCATTTGTAAGCAGTAACAGTATACGAAGGTAACGTAGGAAAAAGTCAGTTTTTCTGATTCATCAATTGAAAATCAAACTATTGGACTATTGCAAGGAAGGCCAAATCCAACCTGCAGAGTGAGCCTGATGGTGATGATGATGATCATCATCATATGTGTAATTTTTACGTGGTAGAGCCATGCTACAGCTATATTACGGTTGTAGCACCGAGTGGTTGGCTAGGCCAGCGTAGGACCACGCTCGCACAGAATACCAGCGTAATACATCAGCTCAATGCTGCTATGTTTCGTATGGTGAGTGTAGAGAACTGGAGGCCCTTTTTACTGAAAAAATAGCCGTTCCATCTTCAGACCTCAATGGTGTCAACGCATGTATATTTTATTTCGACTATAGACGATAGCACAAATTTACCTTTAGGTGGACTGTGTGCTCGTTTGAACCGGAAACCATTTTTACTGGAAACGAGGCACTCCATCTTTGTCCTCAAGGGGTGAAAACGCATCTGCATGTTGAATCTTAATCGAAGAGAAAATAAATGTAGATATCTACGGGCTACAGCATCCACTTACCATCAGGTGGACGGTGTGCTCGTTTGTCACCCTATTCTATAAAAAGAATGAGGTTTGTAAATTTATTGTAGTATTTCCTATTGATATTAAATGTAATACAATTTATTCATGTTACGGCAAAGGGTGACGCTCTTTATTTATAACTGAAGGGGTACACGAACTTAATTCCACCTGGTTACCATGCAGGTCCATGGACATCTGCAGCCACTAAAGAATACTATGATGGAATGCCTCACTCGCCTATAATTATAATGAATTCCTATACCCTTCAGATCGCAATACGGCAGTGCATAATAAAATAATAATAATATTATAATAATTCCTTTATTTGCTTATAAACACTGTATAATTATCTGGAAAAATGTTTGACAGAGTGCACCTGTTTCGCCATAATGAAAATAGCATGCGAATAATATGTTGAATTTTAGGATGTTATAATTAAATTACATGTCAATCCATACTATTAATATAATAATTACTATCAAATATGTCAACGAATAAAAATTGAATAAAATAATATTTTATAACTATATTAATTAACAAATCTATGCTGTAAAAGTTATTCTGACTTAACCATTTGTACAATCTGTGCTCAAACATAATATTGATATTGAGCACTTTAATATCTCTAGGAACCTTTTTATAAATTCTGACACATACAGAGGCAACATTTTGCATACTTCTTTTTTCAACCTTGGAATGTCGTTATATATCATTCTGTGAGGATCTCCCAATTTAAAATTACTTACTTTATAAAAAGAAATCTGTATTTTTGTGTACAAAAACTGCAAGTTTATTAATGTAAAGTGCTTTGTTGTGCATGTAAATTTTTATACAGTGGTTTACAGGACACGTCTGGTAAAACTCACATATATAAATGCTCTATTTTTGCCCTGACCTACTGTGGCCCCATAGTAGGATACCGTAGCGCAATATCAACTCTATGTAAGCGCGATAGGATATAACAACGATCTGTTCGTCGTTTACGTTCTTAACACGTTTAAGCGCATATACGAACTGGGTAATTCTGTTACTCGAATGATCTAAATGTATTTTCCAGTTCAAGCACTCGTCAATAGTATACCTAAGAATTTCAATTGCAGTTTCTTGCACTGCTTTTGCGGAAGGAATAGGGAAGTGTTGTATTTAACCAGACGGAAAAAATACACAAAACGGTTCCTCAGTATCTAGTTCATATCTTTTTTTGCACATTTATTAACTCTCTTTTTAATTTTACTCTGTGACTCTGTGCACGATTTGATGAATAGTCAGTTGTTCAGTATTAAATATTTCCGTTATAAAGTTTGATAAACTTGAAAAAAATTGAAATACTGAGGAGTTATAAACATTTGGTTCACTAGCTGCAAGGGTCTATTTTGCTTCGTCAGATGTTTCATTGAGCTGCCGAAAACTGAATCCAAATATGTCTCTTAGGAAGCGTGATTCCGCGCTCGATGTTCCTCGTAATAATATCAGAAGAACTACTGAAGCGAATCAGATCTTTTTTAGCACTTGGAAAATATTTTAAAAGATTTGAGAGGCCTCGCTACCACACATAACTTCAACGAGTACACAAATTAATTGAGTCGTGTATAAGCTTAACTCAATTTGAGATACAATTAGTTTTAGAAGATGCTTAAAACTTATATTTGAGCGAATGATTGTATAGAGTATAGGAATCATAGACTTTTAATATACTAACTGAATCCAAGTTTATGATAGAAATACTTATTAAATTACTCAAACCTACAACAAACTAGTAATATATAAATCAATGACTACAAACCATTAAAAACTTGAGTGACGTTTCTATGTTCTTGTCATAAATATTTTATAACATAATATAATGTGTCGTTCAAGATAAATGTAGGTGTCTATGGGCCTCACGTTCGTATACCTCGCTGGGTCAACCCTGAGTTCACATTAACAGCACCCACCTACCATCAGCTGGTCTTTGTGCTCGTTTGTGACCCTTCATCTTTATAAATAACCACAACAGCCTATCAGGAGTCTAACGCTGAACACAGATATCCCCATGGATTTTGGTGACGATGTCAGGTGGTCCGGTAACCGCAGCCTTTCCTTATTTCAAATTATTGTCAGGAAGATGGTGCTTCCCATTTCCGTTTTTACTTCTGTCGCCTCTCATGACTCCCACGGGATGATATATGATGGATATTCTTACACCGTCACTGCACGGACTTCTATAAAAAAGTATTTTCCTTTATAATGATTTGTTCAAAATTCGTTTTCTTATGTTTAGAAGATATCGACAACAACACAGTCGATTGGTTGAAAAGGATCGTGAGCCCCAATGATACGCAGATAAGCACCGAAAGTTCTGCGAGGACCTCCGTTCCTGTAACACCTACCATAGACAGCTCCACGGACAAGCTTTTGAGCAAATCCAATTTACCCTCTGATCCTGATCTAGAAGAGGACTTTGAAGGTATGTACTTAGATAATATAAGTATTATTACATTAATAAAGGAGTTTTCTTGGACCACTACTCGTTTATTTATGGTATTACACATAAAACATATATCAATTTAAAAAAGTAAACGAGCTAAAAGTTATAATAAGTCTAAATGGAATCGTGTAATTCATTTATGAAGCGTGTTTGCAATTTTCAATTTAATTCTTTATTTGCGCAATATGGGTTTGTATGAAACAAAAAACTTGTTTTACTACAGTACACGCTGGTAATAACATGGGTTTGTATAAAAACAGTCATACCATTGAAACTTTGTTTTTGATACTATCTTATTAGTGTTAGATAAAGTGTTCATGAAACGGAACGTACCTAGTAAATCCGCCATTTTGTCATTATTTTGTCCGTAGAGTGTTATATACGTGTGTATGCATAGAGCGAATCTATAATTCGACTTAAATTGAGTCATTATACTTGTCTTGCTTAGTCTAATTTAATTTTCAAATAAGGCGAAAAGAGGTTCACTATTGAAATATTGTATTTTATCCTTTAAACGAGCAATTCTTGTATATATATATATATATATATATATATGTATGATCGGAATCTCGGAAACGGCTCCAACGATTTTCATAAAATTTTGTGTGTTTTGCAGGGAGTTTCGGGGGCAATAAATCGATCTAGCTAGGATTTATTTTTAGAAAATGTCTTTTTGTCCGTGTTTTTAGGTAATGAAAAACTGCTACAATATCATTAGAATAAGAAGGTAAATTTTGACAGTTTATTGATGATTACAAATAGCTTAATTGGCATATTGGGCGGTCACAAAATCGTAATACTATGGTTCGAGCCCAGACCGACCGACCGACTTTTTTTATTTTTTTTTCAAGTTCCTTTCTTTTTTGAGAAAATATATTTTATCGAGCCCTTTTTTTAGTATTTTTTAAAAACACGAACATTTAAATTAAACTAATTGCACTCATTATTTTCTATTCAAATAAACAGTTCAGTTTTTTCTATTATGTCGCTAAGATCAAAAAATATTATTCGTATTTCATCAGTATGTAATTTGTATCTAAATATAATTTCCAAAACACACGAATTTAAAAAAAACGAACGAAAAATACCGAGCAAAGCTCGGTCAACCGGGTACTTGTATTTTATGCTTAGCGCTTTAATGATAAGTGGTCATCTTTGATCTCTTTATACCATGGATTATATGGGAGTAACTGCACTCGTATATATATATATATATATATATATATATATATATATATATATATATATATATATATCTTCTAATTTACTAAAAACATGATATCCCGATTATAGTAGTATTATGTGTGACGTTATTTTACAGGCCATGACGTCTTTACTCTATAGTGATTACGTTCCTGAAATCAACAAACACTAGTAACAATTTTCAATAGTGTCTGTATAAATCTGAAAAATCTACAAATGACTTGTTACTAAATACTTTTAATAAAATGTTAACTAACTTAATGTTTTTGGTCTAGCAGCCCTTCGCGGCAGACACCCAAGCTAGGCTTCTTCGTTGAATCATTATTCGTCTCCTCCACGTAATCGATGCCGAAATACTATATGTATTTACTATATGTATTACACGTGGTAGAGCCATGCTGCAGTTATATTAGTATAAATGGGTCGGCTCGACCGGGGAAGGAACACGCTCTCACAGAATACCAGCGTAAAATAGTAGCTTAATTCTGCTGTGTTTCATATTGTGAGTGTAGAGAATCGGAGACCTTTTTACTGGAAACGAGGCATTCCATCTTAGTCCTCACGGGTGACAACGCATCTGCATTTTGATTCGTAATCGAGGATAGATGTACATGTCTATAGGCCACAGCAATCACTTACCATCAGGTGGACTGTGTACTCGTTAGTCACCCTATCCTATAAAAAACATATCTCCTTGGGTCACAACAAAACAAATCCTTTCAGAAATGAGAAGAATCTCAAAAGTGGGACGTATATGGGCTGTACCTTTAACTTTCACTTTAATTGTTCGTAAAAGAAGTATAAAGTCCATGACTTTTTCTGCTACCAGGGCGGCACCACTGCTGACAGATTTTATAGCGGGTGAGGGTAATTTGTTACAAAAGTGTAGAGATTAATGCTGCTTTCTGAAATATTAGTTATATTTTATATATTTTTTTATAAGAGAAAGGTGATAAACGAACATACAGTCCACCTGATGGTAAGTGGTTGCTGTGGCCCATAGATCACATCTATCCTCGATTACGAATCAAAATGCAAATACGTTGTCATCCGTGAGGACTAAGATGAAATGCCTCCTTTTCAGTAGAAAGTGTTCCGGGTCTCTACACTCACCGTACGAAACACAGCATCGTTAAGCTGCTATTTTACGTTGGTAATCTGTGAGAGCGTGGTCCTTCCCCGGTCGAGCCGACCCATTCGTGCTACAACTATACTACTAATATAGCTGCAGTATGACTCTAGATCGTATTGATAAACAAAACTACATATATACCTGAAAGTTAAAGAATTTAAAAAAAGTTAAAAATATGCAAAATATTAAACAACACAGCACTGAAGCATTGTTTCGTATTACAAACACTAGAAACCGAAAAACCTTTACTTAAAATGCAACTTTTCAATGATGACGCTGTGTCACTATTTTAGTGATAAATAAAATCAACTAAGTGCCGACTAGCGACATCTAGCGAGCGTAACATTAACTCTCATTCATTAAAGATTGCTAATTTATTTTTATTTCGTTGCAGACAGCGAAAAATGTGTGACGGATGACGGTTCGGACGGTCTCTGTGTCAGGTACCACCAGTGCGATGACAGAGGATTAATAGATAACACCACGCTTATAGACTTGAGGTAAGTTTTTTCTAAGCTATTGCATAGCTTCTATCGCGGGCCTTGAGCGCGGGGACCGAATCCAGAAATTCCGTAACGAAAAAAAACCTCACGCTCCCCACTCCGACGGGCACGGAGGTGTGGCGTTGAAAGCCGTGCATCGTCTAACGTCGTTTCAGTTCGGCAGACTTCGGCACGGTGTTTGTGTGCGTGCGACTAGACATATGCGTGTACACTAGCTGCTAACTCAATGATAAAAATTCCTGAATAACCTACATGTATTTTAAGATATTAAAAATATTTTAAACAATATTAACTTCTCATTTATTCAATAAGAGAAAAAAAATAGTTTTCTTATCTGTCACCACGCTCAAAAAGTGTAACTTGATTTAATATCAAAGACTTAACTGCATAAATAAAATAAATAAATAATTATAATTGCATAAGTTGTTAAAAAATGCTATGAAATAGCTTTACCGCGGCAGTCACCGAGTGCCACACGTATTTTTTACCACGTTTTTATTAAGTCACTTTCTTGTTTGCCGCTCCGGGTGGAACTCAAGTTTGCAATAGAGTTGAAAATTTGAAGTTTCTTCAGAATCGGATGCTAATATAGGAAAATAAAAATACTTGGTATACATAAAATGTTTTTGTATACAATTTAAAAAAAAATACTGTTTGTCATCCAGAGCGAAATTTGGCTGCGAAATCTAGCCATGTGACCATGACAGGATTATAGTGCATGAGTGTGTGCACTCACTATTCTCTAACTCTCATAGTCCGATGAAAGTAATCAGACACGACCGGAGAGAGATCAGGCGCAGGAGCAAATATTTTACGTGTTTTAACAGGCACGGGAGCAAAATACTGTGAACATTTTCTGAACAAGTGCTGTAACTTAGAATTTCTCAACAGAAAAACACTTTAACAGATTTTGGGCCGACATTATGGAATTCGTACCCGGGATTATATGATCAGTAGTTCAGCAGTCGCGCTTACGAACAAATGAGCAGCCAAAAAGTACAAAACAAATTGCTAGGCAACACATTCTTGGACTTCGGGTCAGGATGTCTCCACAGGCGCTGCTACGCTATTACTTTTAATTTCTTCGTGGGAACTTGAGGCACTGGCCGAAGCGGCGAGCAAAGAAGAATGTCATTTTCATCATTAATCACATCATCATTCCATCACACATAAAATGCGATATAAAGCGTTCATAGCGCCATCTTTCGTTCTTCTTCTTAATAAAGCGTGCGTAAAATTTAAATACGTGCATGTATTAATTTGTTTACAAAATTATAAACACTAAACGGGGTAGTTTTTTTTTAATAGAAATCCATCTGATGGTGAATGGATTCTGTGCCCCACAGACACCCTTACCTGTTCTTTTTTTAATAGAATAAGAGTGTCAAACGAGTACATAGTCCACTTGATGTTGAGTGGGTGCTGTGGCCCATAGAGATTCACATTTATCTTTGATTATTAATTATAATACAGATGCGTTATCACACCTGAGAACTAAGATGGAGTGCCTCATTTCCAGTAAAAAGGGTCTCAAAACACATTAATATATAAACTATTTTACGCTGGTATTCTGTAAGAGCGTGGTCCTACCCCAGCCAAGCCACGTTTGATAGTGGTGATAGTCAGTCTTGCCAGTGTGTCTTGGTAGGAAAGGGACTGACTCAGCAGCTTAGCAGTTAAAGGAAAACGTCGTGAGGAAACTTGCATGTCTGAGAAATCCGTCAAATGGCATTGAGGTGGCGCGGCGGAACTTACCTTAAGCCCTCTCTGTGATGTAAGGAGATCTGTGCCCAGCAATTGGACGTGCGCAGGCTGCTTTGAAGCCCGTCTATTTTTGTAAGTAATTTTATCCGGTGTCGGAGGTGCAAGAGGTGATAGAGGGCAAGGAAACAGGAGGTGGGCGTTAACATCTTACCATGACGGCACTCTGTAACTCCCTATATTCAATAAAGGACTTTAAAAATAAAATAAGAGCCTATACGACTCAGTGACGCAGTGGCTTAGCAATAAGTTGCAGCGCTAAGGGCCGCGGATTTGAATCCCGCGCTTAACAATAATTTGTATGGCCTACAAGTAATTGTTTCGGGTCTGGATGTTTGTCCTTGTGAAATTTATGTATGTAAACTGCCCTCACGATACAGGAGAGAATCCTAGTGTGTAGGTAATGTTTTTTATAAATGTAAATTAAATATAATCGTAAAATTGCAATTAACAATTTCATTGGTGCCAGAGGGGATCGAACCTGGAGTGCTCACGTAGAGTGAAATTTACAGTGAGCGCTGGCCCATGAGTGAATTTAATAAATTATAATAATGATGATGATGATATGAATTTAAAAAGGATATTTGAATTAAAAAAGAAAAATCTAAAACAATCTCATATTGTTAAACAGGGCTGCTATGTGTCGCCATTACCTTATGAAATGCTGTTTGCAATCGGAAGCCCACAAGCAACCGAAGAAGGACAAACCGCTACCACCGCAATCTGAATGTGGCTGGAGTAACCCAGACGCAAGCATCCTCCGTATCAAAAACCAGTACAACATCAATAAAAAAACATACGCCGATTACGGGGAATTCCCTTGGATGGTTGCTTTGATCAAGTAATTTATTAACTTTTTTTTGCATATATGTAGCTTACTTATTTTATTTTAATTTAGCTGGCTCGGTAGACGTTATGTTGCCCTTGAGATGGTATTTTACTGTGTTAATTTATTTATTTTTATAACAGGAAAACTTACAGTTTTTTATTAATAATTTATGGTATATAACGTATTTAACAAAATAAGCCTGTAGGGGACTCTCGTACATTTCACACGAACATACATTTATACACTCGTACACACATTGACACTATACACACTTCTTATCTGCTGGTCGACGAATCGTAGGTTCGATTCCGCGCCATCGATATTTCTATTATAGTCATTCAATGTGCAATATCCAATGCTTTTCAGTGGAATTGTTTCAATTTGATTGATCCTAAAATCTCACGAACATATAGGGTGCAATGCCAGGAGTGATCTGGGCTATATTTAATTTGAAACACTAAGATTGAAAAAAAAAGATGAATAGAATAAAAATTATCTTCTTCTCTGTGTACAAAAATAAATTGCTGTCCATTGGTCTCGCTAAAACTCAAAAATGGCTGGACTGATTATGATGAATGTTTGTGTATGTTTGAATAGAACCCTGGACTGTTAAGATTCAGAATTGGATCCGGTAGATGGCGCTGTTATCAAGAACGCTAGTCTTAAATATGAATAACGCTGCATTAATAAAAACTTAAATTATAGGAAGGACGATAGTGCTGACTGGTCGCAGAAGAATTACCTAGGTGGAGGTACCATCATACATCCGTCCGTGGTGGTCACTGCTACTCACAAAATCTCTCTCCACAGCAGGTAACACCTTCATATTCACTAATCTAAAATGTAAAAATAGCAGCTGTTTTGGCTCGCCGCTCACTTAGCGGTCAGCCACCGCAGAGTCGTGTGAAGGTGAAACACGTGTCGTATTATAGACGGTGGTGTGGCGAGTAGTGCTGCTGGAGTTAGTGGTGACGGGGGTAGTGCAAGCAATTGAGGGAGGGGCGGTAGGTGCTCTTCAAACTAGGTAAGACACAAATTTTTTTACGCGGATATAAGCAAATTAATTTTTAAGCTATTGCATAGCTTCTATCGCGGGCCTTGAGCGCTGGGACCGAATCTAGAAATTCCGTAACGAAAAAAAACCTCACGCTCCCCACTCCGACGGGCACGGAGGTGTGGCGCTAACGTCGTTTCAGTTCGGCAGACTTCGGCACTCGGCAGACTTCGGCACGGTGTTTGTGTGCGTGCGACTAGACGTATGCGTGTACACTAGCTGCTAACTCAATGATAAAAATTCCTGAATAACCTACATGTATTGTAAGATGTTAAAAATATTTTAAACAATATTAACTTCTCATTTATTCAATAAGAGAAAAAAAATTGTTTTCTAATCGGTCACCTCGCTCAAAAAGTATAACATGATTTAATATCAAAGACTTAACTGCATAAATAAAATAAATAAATAATTATAATTGCATAAGTTGATAAAAAATGCTATGAAATAGCTTTACCGCGACAGTCACCGAGTGCCACACGTATTTTTTACAAGTTTAATTCCGCAAATTCGCCTGGTTCCATTAATTTTGTACGTCGTTTTTGAATTTGAAGGATTGCGGTAGCTACTGCACTGATTCTTCACTTTTAAATTAATTCGACTGTGCCGTAATATAATAGTTACTATCTGATGCCGGCTCGCTTCGCAGGCCACACGATAATATTCTTGGGCTCCACAATTAATGTCTGGTACATGGCACTAGCGCGATCTAGTATCGATTAGCAGAACTAATCCTTCTAGAGAATGTCATACTAGAGTTTTCTACACCTGGTAAGTCGGGACCGGAATGTACTCGAACATTCTAGATGTTTCAGTAGGAGAGGGCCTATATAAGGCCGGTTAGTACAGCGACCGAGTCAGTATTGAATTGGCCATTCAAGCGAGTATTTCGAAGCAATATAACTGCGAACTAAAGTGTTTTATTAAAAAAGTATTTTAAGTTGTAATTCATCATCATCATTACAGCCCTTCACAAGCCCAATGCTGAACATAGGCCTCCCCCAAGTAATGCCACAAAGCACGGTCCTGAGCCACCTGCATCCTTCTACTTCCTACATGTCTAACCAGGTCGTCACTCCATCTAGTGGGGGGTCGCCCTACACTACGCCTACCGGTACGAGGCTGCCACTCGAGAGCCTTTCTTCCCCATCGGTTATCGGTTCTTCGAGCAATGTGGCCGGCCCATTGCCACGTCAGCTCACTAATCCGTTGGGCTATGTCGGTCACTCTGGTTTTACTGCGGATATCCTCATTTCTGAGTCTATCACGCAGAGAAACTCCGAGCATAGCCCTCTCCATAGCTCGCTGAGCGACATTGAGCGTCCTCATACGGCCAGCAGTGAAGGACCACGTCTCAGATCCGTAAGTCATCACTGGCAACACGCACTGGTTGTACACTTTAGTTTTCAGAGATTGAGGTATACCTGACGAGAAGATGTGTCGTAATTTCCCGAACGCTGCCCAGCCGAGTTGAATTCGTCGATTGACCTCTCGGTCGAAGTTGGATTTACCTAGTCGGACTATTTGTCCCAGGTAAACGTACTCGTCAACAACTTCGAAGATAGTGCTCTCCACAACTACCGGCATGGGTGTGACATGGACTTTGAACATAATCTTTGTTTTGTCCATGTTCATCTTAAGACCTATCCGTTGGGAGACACCATTGAGGTCATTGAACTTAGTGCTAAGGTCCTCCAGCGATTCTGCCATAAGGACTATATCGTCGGCAAATCGAAGGTGAGTGATGTACTCGCCATTGATGTTAATACCGTATCCTTTCCAGTCCAGTAGCTTGAAAACGTCTTCCAACGCAGCGGTGAAGAGTTTCGGGGATATAACGTCACCCTGTCTTACACCTCTCTGCAGTTGAATAGGTTTCGAACTCTGGTTCTGTACTCGGATAGCCATCGTAGCCCTACTGTACAAACACTTCAGCACCTCGATATACTGACAGTCAACTTGGCACCGCTGAACGGACTGTAGCACCGCCCAAATTTCGACGGAATCAAAGGCTTTCTCATATTCCACATACGCCAGGCAAAGTGGCAGATTGTACTCTTCGGTCGTCTGTACAATCTGCCGCAGGGTATGTATGTGGTCTATGGTACTGAAGCCTTTTCGGAAACCAGCTTGTTCGGGAGGCTGGAAGTCGTCGAGTCTGCGTGCAAGACGATTCGTAATGACTCTCAAAAACAGCACGTAGACGCGGCTCAGAAGGGAAATCGGTCTGTAGTTCTTCAAGAGAGCGTTGTCGCCTTTCTTAAAGAACAAGACCACCGCACTTCTGCTCCACGCCTCCGGAGTAGTGCCACCATGGAGGACGGAATTGAAGAGCTTCTGAAGGACTTCAAGTACCGGTGTTCCACCCGCTTTCAGAAGCTCCGCTGTAAATCCATCCTCGCCTGGGGCCCTGCCGATTTTAAGGTGCTGGAGAGCCATTCTAATCTCGCTCAGACTGACGTCCGGGATATCATCGGAATAGTGTCGGGTAAGACTTGCACTTGTATCGTTACTCACACTTGCGTGTGGCTCCAACGATGATGTGTACAGCTGCCCATAGAACCTCTCAATCTCACTCAAAATCTCAGGTGTCCCGGAAACGATGCTGCCACACTCAGTCTTCAGCTTTGACAGTTGGCTCTTTCTGGCAGACAGATCTCTGGCAAAGACTTTGGAGCCCTGGTTCCGCTCGATCGCTTCTTTAATACGAGCAGTATTAAAGTTGCGTAATTCTTGCCGCATGCATTTGGAGATCTGTCTGTTCAGTTGCATGTATGCTGTCAAATCTGTTGACGATTGCAGCCTCATCTCCCGTCTAACAGCCATGAGATTAAGAGTGTGATCGGAGAATTTTTGTGTTCTTCTGCGGCGGGTCTTGCAGAACTTAGCTCCGACCGCATGGACAGTTCTACGAGCTTGTCATTCATATCGTCCACTGCATTGCAATCTTCTAGGCACTGAAAGCGGTTACGTAACTCGAGCTGAAAAGTCTCGGGATTCTGGATTAGAGCACGAGGGGGACGGAGCGTTGACTTCATTAGACGAGACCTCTCCAACTTAACGTATAGGTTCAGTGTGCCTCTAACCATTCGGAGACCGCTGCCGGTTTTCACCCTTGCGATCACTGAGACATCACTGAACAGTCGGCGTCTGGTCGTCATAATGAAGTCAATCTCATTTTTTGTCGAACCGTCGGGGCTTGACCAGGTCCACTTTCTGTGGGGCCGCTTCTGGAAGAAAGAGTTCATCATAAAGAGTCCCTCTTTCTCCATAAAGTCAGCCAGCTGCTGGCCCCTACGGTTCCATTGCCCTACTCCAAAATTCCCTAACTTCATCTCACCGTCTTCTCTTGTGCCTAGTTTTGCGTTGAAGTCTCCCATCAACACCGTGTAGTGGGTTTTGTAGGAATGCATGGCTCTAGAAATATCCTCATACATTTCCTCCACCTCCTCATCGGGATGTGCCGAGGTTGGTGCGTAGACCTGTATGACCTTCAGCGAATACCGTTTGGTGATTCTGAGTATCAGGTACGCGACCCTCGTCGACACACTCCCAATCTTTACAACGTTGTTGACGAGAGACTTGTGGACGATAAATCCGACACCTCCTTGGGACAGATGGTCGCCCTCCCGGTGATAGAACAAGTTGCCGGACTCGAGGATTACCGTGTCCTCCCCCTCTCTTCGGACCTCAGATAATCCAATAATATGCCAGCGCAACTTGTCTACCTCTTCTTCCAGCTCCAGTATCTTCTCGTCAGTCCTCAGGGTGCGTGCGTTATACGTTGTCAGGTCGAGTCGTCGTAGGTGGCAACCGAACCTCCACCGGAGATTCTTAGCACCCCCTGCCCCGCCGTTACCATGGTCGCCACCGTAGCCAGGAATAGCGGAGCCGCCGGGGACTGGGGGCCATTTATTTGTGTCGTTGCTCATGGGGGGATATTTGCCATAGTTGCCACGCTTGGCGAGCGGGTTGGCAACCGCAGTTTTTTATTATGTTGTTGTTGTTATTAGGAAGATGCTGCTGTCCATCTCCTTTCTGTTGTTGTAATTGGTGTTCGGTAATTAAACTGTCAATTTTGGTAATTCAATCGGCAGTTTTTACTGTCACAAACCCCAAGCTCGTAGCAAGTGGGGTCAGATGTGGGATTAAATCATGCCGATTTTACCTAAGGACGACACGGAGGGTATCCGTACTCAAAGTTAACGCCAGCAGGAGACGGACCGTAGACAATTTGGTGGTGCAACGACGGGGATGTCGGAGGGCCAGCAGCTCCTACATCTGCAGCATCTGACTTAGGTGCTCTAATGGTGATGCTGCAGGAGCAGGCTCGCTGACAGGAGGAACAGGCCCGTTGGTTGGAATAGCCGCTGCAGCGCGGACAGGAGGAACAGTCCTATCGTTTGGAAGAGCAGCAGGAGAAACAGGCCCGCCGATAAAAAGAACAGGCACAACGACAGGAAGAACAAGCCCGCCGACAGGAGAAACAGGCCCACTGACAGGAGGAACAGGTCAGCCGACAGGAAAAATAAGCCCGTCGCTTGGAAGAGCAGCTGCAACGCGGACAAGAGGAACAGACCCGTCGGTTGGAAGAGCAGTAGGAGGTACAGGCCACCCGACAGAAGGAACAGGCCTATCGTTTGGAAGAGCAGCTCAAACGCGATAAGGAAGAGCAGATGCTCCTCATGAAGGACCCTCATGTTATCTTCCAGAAAGAGATATGGAAGGTGAACGATAGGGTTGCCCAATAAGACAAACG